GTTACGCACAGCTGACGTCTACTGACTGTGCATCATCCCTGAACTCTGATTTATGCTTAAAAGCTTAAAAAAGATTTATCTTCAGAGCCAGCTCAAGGAGCATTATGTGAAAGGGGAATGAATAAAGCAGGAAAGTCATAAATTTCCGCTTTCAGTAGAAAAAAACGGATGCTGAGAAACCAAGCAGTAGCAGAGCATTCACAGAACACACCAGGATAAGAACTGCTATGTGTTAAAAACTATTTTCTAAATTCCTTATTAACATTCTTTGATGCTAAATAATGGCAGGAAAACTCGGGGGGGAAGGGTGAGAGTTTGGGGGGGGGCAGGATTCATATAACATAAAAGTATTCTGACTTTTAAGMCACTTTTTAATACACTACTTCCTCACTCAGTCACCTGAGAAGCAAAGAAGGAAGTTATGACTTTGGGAGAAAGATGCTGAGTGAAAAAAATAGGAGTATATTTCCCTACACATCGCCTATTTTCCTGATCTCTCATACACTGGAATSATTACATGGCCTGCCTAGAATTAATTCTGCTTTCTACCAACATCTTAGTTTAACAGTCCAGTGTAGCTATTGACTGGCAGAAAGGAGGTGAAAGAARAAATTTCTCTTTATCTTTGAAAAATATAAGAAAATTGGCAGAAATAAATGAATAAAAATCCAGGTTATATAATGCTGTCTTATAATGCCTATATGTCTCCTATTTAGGTTTCATCTCAACTCTCTTCATAAGTTCTTACTGCTTTACTCACTCTTGTCCCAGATTGCTCCCTCTGTGCTTCAGCAGTCTATTAGAAAGGCAACGGTAAAAAAGAAAGTCTTTTAAATTTTAGTGGAGAAAAAAAAAAAAGAGTTGCCACTGATGAATAGATTTATGGCCATATCTATGCAGAAAATTCAAACACTTCCTTTGAAAAGTGTTATTTCCCAGTTGGAGAGGAATCACAAGGAGAAAGCAAGGGCACCACAGAAATGGTAACTAAGCCATCTCTGAGGCTTCGCTTCCTTCCTGGAGGGACAGAGGAACTATGAATAGGGACAATCCACCCCAGAGGGCAGGGCACTCCTGTGGTCCACGCATGGATGATGCTGGAGCTTTAAACTTCAACAGCAAGTGCTAAAGTGCCAAAAAGCAGCCCCTTTCCTGGACAGGCCCTATGCTACTCTCTCATTATCCATGTTACACAGGAACTCACAGTTTTATTCGGACTGAATAACAGTTTTCTGAAGACTGAATGACAGTTTTGCTGTCAAATACAGCAAATAATGGAGAAGAAAAATGAAAAAAAGGAAGGAAGGAAGGAAGGAAGGAAGGAAGGAAGGAAGGAAGGAAGGAAGGAAGGAAGGAAGGAAGGAAGGAAGGAAGGAAGGAAGGA